CCCGACGTACGCCGAGACCACCTTTGCGATCTGCCTTGTCTGGAAGAGCAGCCCGAGCCCGCGCTCACTCGTGCCCACGTTGGAGCTGACGACGGTGAGTCCACCGCAAGCGCGGTCGCGCAGCGCAGTTATCAAGTTCTCCGGCACGCCGGAGAGGCCAAAGCCGCCCACCAGCAGTGTGGCGCCGGCCGGCACGTCGGCAACCGCCTCGCTCGCAGAGCCGACGACCTTGCTGCTCAAGGGTCGCTGCGGCCTCGTGTGTAGCCGCTGGAGCAGGCAAGAAGAACGGAGCAGCCTACACCGCATTGTTGGATGGCTGCCTTCGTGGCCAGAAAGCAAAAGAATTCTAAGCACCGGCATGGCAGTGCCCCTGATCAGGGTGGGCGACGGCTAGCGCATCACACACCTCTCCTTAAAATCCCTGTGTGGTGGCGGCGTGCCGTCCTCCCATCCCTCCCTCGGCTTGTCTGTTTTCTTTCTTTCTTTTAGCGCCCCTGATCGTCCCTCCAAAATCCTGCTCGTGCAGGTGGGGACCCTCCTCCTCCTTTATCTGCTATCTCGTTTGGATTGCGTTTTTTGTTTCTTTCTTTCTTTTTACCATTGCACGGGGCACAGCACAGGCGTATTCTAGAGGGGGGGAAGAAACGGGGAGTGAGGGCCCCCGCCACGAGAAGTGCGTTTTGGGGATGCAGAGCGTGCAAGGTGGCTAAGGTAGGGATGAAGCCGCAAAAGAGGCGCGTGAGGCAAGAAGGAGAAACGGGGAAGACAGAGAGCCACCAGCCACCACAGGCGTCGTTGGCGCACATACTGAGCGGCAGCTGCGCTGGAAACAAGGAAGAGGCGCGTTTCATGCGGAAGGTCGAGAAACACACGGCGAGGGCGAGGGCGACAGCAAGAGTCGAACGGGCGGCGCCTGATTCAAAAGACACAGCCACATTCCTGAGACGCGCGAGGGCAGTCTCCTTAAAGGCAATGGGGTCTAGATTTGGAGCGCTTGCCGGAGAGGAGTACGACAAAATAGCGCCCGTGATTGCCTGCACGCTGCCCGCACTCATGGACTCCATACCCGAAAGGAAGAGAGAGGAGCTAGCAGGAGAGGTGACGAGGGAACTGCAGGTAGTGGGGAAGGCAGCTTCGATCGCCATCCAGACATGGGTACGAAACAACGACGGCAAACCTGGCGTCGTTCTCCCTACACAAGCAGAAAGGGCGGGGCGTCAGAGCCGGCCGGGCGGAGCGGGCGGAGCGGCGTACTTGGCGTGAGCACGCCTCGATTTTCGGTGCCCGTGATTCACAGGTGTGATCACAAAGGATAGCTGTATCTGCTCATTTTTTGAACAGGGTTCCTAGAAGATCTCGGTGTCGAAACACCGCTCTGACAGCGCTCAACAGCTGTGAAGGGAAAAGTAGTAAGGTGCCCGTGGTTCAGGAGGTCGTTGACCAAAAGTAATCATCATGGTAGAGAGAGTATGATCATCCCTTTCTTGGGTTGACTGATCTGTTTTCTTTCTTTTTAGAGAGAGAGAGAGAGAGCCCTTGGCACCGTGGGTGCTGGGGGAGGGCGACAGGGGGGACCGTGGCCCTGAGTGATGTGTATGCCCACTTGGTGTGAGAGAGATTTTTTGAGAGAGAGAGAGCTGTTGTTTGATTTTTTAGCAATATCAAACAACTCTAAGTTGTTGCAGGGTGTGTGGCAGCCCAGCTGGCTGTCTGTCTTGTGAGCTTGTGTGTGTCTGTGTGTCGCTCGAGCGTGTCGTCGTCATCTGTCTCGCGTCCACCCATACCGCGCTGGTGTCCAGTCCGAGCCTGACTGTTCTTCACCTACATACATACATACATACATACATACATACATACACACATACATACATACATACATTTGCATAGAGAGAGGGCGCTCCGTCCGAGCCCTCCCCGCTCTTGCACAGGAGGAAAATGGAAAATTAATCAGATGGAAGCAGGAAGCTTCCATCCCGGCTGTGGTTCGACTCCACACATGAGCCGATGGGTGAAGGGGAGGGCGCGTGGTGGCGCTGGCCTGGAATTCTGAAGCTCACCCATTGAGGAAGTGAGGTACTGCTCCGCCCACCCTGATCCTGCTGAACAAGCTCCTCTTGTAGCTCGATCGGTCACACCGCCACCAGCCCACCACCGCCGACGTCTCCCACCCAGTGAGACGATGGAGAGGGGGGACGACACTGCTTCTGCAGCGTGCACCTCGATCCTGTACCGTGTTTGTTATGACCCCCCCCATGAACACACCAGCGAGGGAGGGCGAGACGATCGAGGGGTCCCCGTACCACGCGGAATCGACCCTATCCAGTGCTCAAGTGCTCAAGAGAGGGGGGGGGGGGGCGAGCGATGAGAGAGAGAGAGAGAGAGAGAGAGAGAGGGGGGGGGGGGGGGGGAAACTCCGAAGATAAGGGGAAGGCCGGAGCGGCCCCACACTGCTCGGAACCCCCAATTCGTTGGCCGTGAGAGAGGCACCAGCTGGAGGCGGCGGCGGAGAGCCGCGCGCCGTTCTCGTCGACCGAGACGCCCTCGAAGACGAAGTACTCCGAGTAGCGGGGCTCCATGGGGCCGATCTCAAAGATCGGGTTGACGCTGAGCGGCGACGGGCCGACGACGGGCAGCAGCTTCATCCCGCCCTTGATGACGGTGAGCTTGAGGTCGAGGAAGCCTGTTCACAGCTGGCGGCGTGAAGAGACGCCGTGCACACATACACATGTGCAAGCGTGGCCTCGTGTGTGTGCTGCTTGCCGCTGCCTCCGCTCTGCCCTCGGACCCAGAGGGCTGGGGACAGCAAGGGCCGGACGACATTCTTGTTCCGATCGCGCCCGAAAAGGAGTCGCGCAGCTACGAGAAGGAGTGGTACCCGGGCAAGCACCTCTCGCGACCGGGCTGGTTCCCCGGCAAGGCGGTCGACGAAGAGGTGGTCAAGATGCTCCCCGACGGAGACCGCGATGGCACGCCCGACAGTATTGATCAAGTACAGCATCGCGCGTCGCCCGCAGCGAAGCACTTCATGGAGCACTCGGCGCTCGGCATGCTCATTATTTGTACTTTTGAGGCGGACGAGGCGGTGCCCGGTGCGGCTCGCCCGCGGCACGTCACCTGTCTCACCCCCCTACCCTTGCGCCTGAGCTGTCAACCCTCACCGCACTCGCCATCCCCCCTCAATCATGAATGGCGAGTAGGGCCGGTCGCGGCGGCAAAGGAGGCGGTGCTCCCCGCGAGCCGCGAAGTGGTCTGCACTTTGAGCGTGTCATCAAAGCCAGTTACGTGGCTCTGCGGGTGCGCACGGCCGGCCCTGACATGGCCGCGTGTGTGAGTGTGTGTGGAGACTGGTGTGGAGTCCCGCAGACGCACATGAATCTCTCCCCTCGCTGCGCTTACATTGTGCCGCTCATCCCCTTGTCCTCTCACCGATGTTTTCGCCCTCCCTGTGCACTCCTCTTGCAGGCTCCTCGCCGCCGCCCTCGTCCTGGTGCTCTTCTACCCGCCGCGCGCGTACCTCCGCGCGGCAGACGCGGCGCGCTTTAGGTCGGCGCGGTCTGTCAAGGAGGGCGACATGCTGTGAGCGGTCATGTGGGCTGGTATAGGTAGTGTGTAGCATGAGCGCGCATGTGTCCATGTCCATGTCCATGTCCATGTATCATGGCATGAATGTGTGTTGGGGGGGAGCCCTATGTGCATGTCAGAGTGCTCGACCACAACGTAGTAATGCTAATGGTACGCTTTAGGAGAGAATAGCGTGTGTGAAATAACCCCACGCGCCACGGCGCCACGGCCCTGGCCCACGCCCCCAGCCCCCACCGCCACCCCCACTGCCCACATCCCTGCCGCGGCGGCCTGGCTCGCTGTCTCTTGCAGGACCAACAGTGCGTCCTGCGTCCTGCGTCCAGCTGAATCGCCCGCCGCAGGTGGCGGGGTCGCGAATTCTTTACGCCGCCGCCGGGCTCCGAGACTTGCGTTGGGACGTGGGCGGCTGGAATCGCGAGCCCAGAAAGATGATGCTAGTACGACTCGGACAGGGACACGGCCATATGGAGATATCCAGGATGAGGCTTTCCGGGCCTGCCGCGCGTCCGGCTTAGGCGAGCAGTTCAAGGCTGCGGTGGAGGACGACAGGACGAGGGCACCCCTTCGGCGAGTGTGGCTCGACGAGCTACCGTTCGAGAGGTAGCTGCGGCTACCGCCCGGCTGCTCAAGCACCACACGCGCTCCGGCGCGTGGGTCGAGATCACGCCCGGCTTGAAAGTGCCTCACACACACAGCACACAGCACACACAGGCCTTATTGCAACACACACACAGGATGTCGCGCACCGCCTCCGCCTCGCGGGGCGCATGGCGGGCGTCTCGGGATCCAGCCTAGGCGATCCAGCGCCACAGAGGACAGCTTCCCAGTAGCAATCTTGTAGTGTCGGTCGGCGCGGAGGTGAGAGCGTTTGGCGGAGCGGAGGCGGAGCAGCTGGGCTCTCCCCTGCCAAGATTGCTCAGGCTTTGCGCAAGAAAAGAATTTTACAACAAAACTCCCTCGCACACACTAGGGACGGGACTGCGGCGCGCACTGGCACTAACAAGGTACACCTGTGCAAGAAAAGAATTTTACAACAAAACTCCCTCGCACACACTAGCGACTAGGCACGGGACTGCGGCGCGCACTGGCACTAACAAGGTACACCTGCGCAAGAAAAGAATTTTACAACAAAACTCCCTCGCACACACTAGCGACTAGGCACGGGACTGCGGCGCGCACTGGCACTAACAAGGTACACCTGCGCAAGAAAAGAATTTTACAACAAAACTCCCTCGCACACACTAGCGACTAGGCACGGGACTGCGGCGCGCACTGGCACTAGCACAGGTACACCACGGGAGCCGCCTACGTACGCGGCGACTCCTGCCTGCGAGGACGGCGAGGCACCTAGCTCCGTGCACTCGACCGCCCTCGCCGCAGGCAAGCTCATTCACAATCTGCTCTGCGATGGCCGTGTGAGAATGTCTGAGATACGCTGCTTCTGCAGCCCTAGCCAATTCTTGGTGGACCAAGTCAGTAGAAAAAAGACGCCCGCACGATGGCCTCCGATGTACCCCCCCAGTTGTGTGTCGCACAAAGCCATCGCTCAACCCGCTTTGAGATGCCCAAGACGCTCCTCTCCGTGAACCCGAAGAAGCTCCCGTGGGAGCAGGACCCTCCCGTGCACAACCGCTGGCACCCGGACATCCCGCCAACCGCCACGGTCGCGGAGGGCGACGTCTTCCGCGTCGAAACAATCGGTGACGAGAGACGGGGTGCACCGCGCTGTACTACTAAAACCTCCACCCACACTTCATAAGGTGCTCACCTCAACACCTTGGGTGCAGTCCCTCTGACCCTACCCCCCGGTGCCGGTGTGGGCGCTGGCCGGCACACTTAGGTAGAGGTACAGTAAGGTACAGACATTGGGCCACTTACCTAAGGTGGAGGTGTATAGGACACCGCGCGCTACCTCGGTAAAGGTACGGGTGAGGTATGGGGGGGGCGCCTCGCCGGACACACGCTCGCCCCTCCCGACGGCCCCGCCCGACACGCGCTACTCACTCATGCAGCATATGGCGTGTTCTGTGGAGAACACCGGCGCTCTGGAGCAGTGACATGTCGACGTCACGGAGCGGGTCGGCGGAGGGTGAGTCGGAGGTCGACGGGCGGGCCGAGCCCGAGCGCCGAGGATGGCGCAGCCGAAGCGGCAGCGTCGGAGCTCGATGGGTCCGGCGAGGTGGAGGAAGGTGCAGCCGAGGGGGCGGAGACGTTGCCGTGCTTCAGCATGTAGCGCGCGCGATGATCGCCTCCTCGGTGGGCCGCAACCACAGGTACTCCTAGTTGTTGTGCACCTTGACGATCTGCCGCAGGCTGCGGGAAGTGCTTGCCCGGGACGTCTCCACCTTGACGGCCCTCGAGACTGTCAGCGGGCCCGGGTACTGCTTGATCACGTCCATGCCCAGGGTCTGGAGCGTCGTGTTCTGCGTGGAGGAGGGCTTCTTGGGCGCGCCATGAGAGGTTGTTGTGTTTCGCGCGACGGGCCCTTATTCGCGCGCACCGCCGGTGTGAACGTCTCGAGAGTACCCCAGGTGCCGGTGTGGACATGTGGAGGGTACCTCGGTATAAGGTGTGCTAAGGTAGCACTCACTCACACACCTAGGTAGCAGGTGTGGGCGCTGCGCGCCTACCACTGTGTCGGTACAAGGTGTACACCTGCACCTTATGAAGCGTGGACCTCCACCCCGTCCTGCGGTCCTGCGTCCAGCTGAATCGCCCGCCGCAGGGTGGCGGGGTCGCGAATTCTTTACGCCGCCGCCGGGCTCCGAGACTTGCGTTGGGACGTGGGCGGCTGGAATCGCGAGCCCAGAAAGATGATGCTAGTACGACTCGGACAGGGACACGGCCATATGGAGATATCCAGGATGAGGCTTTCCGGGCCTGCCGCGCGTCTGGCTTAGGCGAGCAGTTCAAGGCTGCGGTGGAGGACGACAGGACGAGGGCACCCCTTCGGCGAGTGTGGCTCGACGAGCTACCGTTCGAGAGGTAGCTGCGGCTACCGCCCGGCTGCTCAAGCACCACACGCGCTCCGGCGCGTGGGTCGAGATCACGCCCGGCTTAAAAGTGCCTCACACACACAGCACACAGCACACACACACAGGCCTTATTGCACTCGACCGCCGTGCACTCGACCGCCCTCGCCGCAGGCAAGCTCATTCACAATCTGCTCTGCGATGGCCGTGTGAGAATGTCTGAGATACGCTGCTTCTGCAGCCCTAGCCAATTCTTGGTGGACCAAGTCAGTAGAAAAAAGACGCCCGCACGATGGCCTCCGATGTACCCCCCCAGTTGTGTGTCGCACAAAGCCATCGCTCAACCCGCTTTGAGATGCCCAAGACGCTCCTCTCCGTGAACCCGAAGAAGCTCCCGTGGGAGCAGGACCCTCCCGTGCACAACCGCTGGCACCCGGACATCCCGCCAACCGCCACGGTCGCGGAGGGCGACGTCTTCCGCGTCGAAACAATCGGTGACGAGAGACGGGGTGCACCGCGCTGTGTTTCCTGAGCCTCGCCCCGACTGCCCGTTGCTCTCCCCGATTTGACAGACTGGACCGGCGGCCAAATCAAAAATGACGACTCCGCCGACGACGTCAAGCACGTCGACCTGACGCAGGCGCGAGTTTGCGGCGCCGATCCCCTCTCTGCGCCCCCCCAGCCCTGCCTGAAGGGCGAATCATCGCCGCAGGTGCACTACCTGAGCGGGCCGATCTGCGTGCCCACCGCCCAGCCGGGCGACCTCCTCAAGGTCGCACGCCACCACGCCTCCCTTTCTCGGTGCACACGCCCCGCGCGCTGATTGCACTCGACTGCCGCAGGTCGAGATCCTGGACGTGGGCCCGCTGGCGGGCGACGAGTGGGGCTTCACCGGCACCTTCCACAAGGACAACGGCGGAGGCTTCCTCACGGACCACTACCCGGAGGCGACCAAGGCTTGCTGGGACTTCGAGGGCGTCTACGCCCAGTCGCGCCACATCCCCGGCGTCAGATTCGCGGGCCTCATCCACCCGGGCCTGATCGGGACCGCGCCGTCGCAAGAGCTGCTCGACATGTGGAACTCGCGGGAGTCCGCGCTCCAGTCGACGGTCGATACGCCGAAGATGACCACGACGTGCGCGCGCGCGCGCCCGCTCTCGCGCTCGCACCGTGGGCTCTCCTCACGGCCGCAGCTGTGAGTAGGTGCGCGCACATGCACACGCGCCCGCTCGCCACCTGGCCGAACCCGACGGGCGCGATGCTGGGCAAGGTCGGCCACTTCAAGCACGGCCCCAAGGAGGCGGGTTGGGAGAGGATCGCGGGCGAGGCTGCGCGCACCGTGCCGGGCCGCGAGAACGGCGGCAACTGCGACATCAAGAACCTGTCGCGCGGGTGCTCCCTCTACCTCCCCGTGTTTGTGCCCGGCGCTAACCTCTCGATGGGAGACATGCACTTCTCGCAGGGCGACGGCGAGGTGTCCTTCTGCGGCGCCATCGAGATGAGCGGCGCCGTCGACCTCGAGCTGACTGCACAGCCACGTCTGTGCACGGCGTCTCTTCACGCCGCCAGCTGTGAACAGGCTTCCTCGACCTCAAGCTCACCGTCATCAAGGGCGGGATGAAGCTGCTGCCCGTCGTCGGCCCGTCGCCGCTCAGCGTCAACCCGATCTTTGAGATCGGCCCCATGGAGCCCCGCTACTCGGAGTACTTCGTCTTCGAGGGCGTCTCGGTCGACGAGAACGGCGCGCGGCTCTCCGCCGCCGCCTCCAGCTGGTGCCTCTCTCACGGCCAACGAATTACGAGTACTCAGGCGTGCAGCACTTCCTCGACGCGACGCTCGCGTACAAGCGCGCCGTCCTCAACTGCATCAAGTACCTCGCCAACTTTGGCTACACCGAGGAGCAGATCTACCTCCTCCTCTCCTGCTGCCCGTGCGAGGGGCGCATCTCCGGCATCGTCGACGTGCCGAACGCCGTCGCCACGCTGGCGATCCCACTCGCGATCTTCGACCGCGACGTCCGCCCCAAGGCTGGCGACGCGCTCGAGGCGCTGGCAAAGGGCATCACCATCAAGAAGGTCTTTCCGGACTGCGCCCACGAGTCGACGCCGGACACCGCGCCCGCGCCCCTCGACCCGCGCCTGTAGAGGCCGACTGCGCCAAGGCGCCCGCTCCCGGGCTGCCCCGGGAGCCGCTCCCGAGGGGCCGCAGCGGACGGCGCGCGCGCGGCTCCCTCTTCTCTTCTTCTCGCTGGCGCTCCTGGCGGGGCGCCGGCCGGTGTACAGGCATGCGATTCGGGGCGGGTAGGGTATGGCCAAACCTCAAAGATGAGGTTTGACAGAGGCTGGGCGGAGAGAGCAGCGTCGACGACGCCTCGGGCGGCGCGGCGTAGGGCCCGCGAGATGAGGTTTGATAGGACGACGCGCGGCTCTCCACGCTCACGGTCACGCTGATCTCCCCGAGTACGGAGGCGAGGGAGAGAGGCGAGTACGTTATCGGTGTACCATGTGATAGCGCCTACGCGCTACGGGCGGCAGCCACAGAGGCAGAGCGACGCGGGTTGGGGGCGCGAAATCTCTTTTCGGGTTGTGTCTCGTTTTCGCGGGCTTCTCGGCCCTCGAAAAGCTGTGTCAAACACGTTAACTTTTTGGGCCTAACAGTTGCACACTACTCTATTGTTAGCTGAAATCCTCAACGTTGTTCAAGTGTTCTCCCCAGCCCAAGCTGTTACTGTTTGTTACTGTTGTTACTCTTGTTCAGTGGTCAGCAAGCAGAAAATGCCAAAAAACCCGGGTAATACCCGAAAATACCCGGGGGTTTCCAGGTATTTTCGGGTATTACCCGGGGCCCTCGCGAGATCGCCGCGCGCTCTCGCGTCTCGGCGTCGCTACACGTATACCGCTCTCGCTCGAACTCTCGACTCCCATCTCTTCTAGGAGTCGCTCTAGCCTTTAGGTGTGGCTCCCCCGAGGCTGCCGTGGTGGTTATGTGTCCGACGCTCCGACCGTGCCGTGCCAGCGCTCCGTCCGTACGCATTTATGTGCGGGGGAGCGGGAGGCGCCAGGGAGAGAGTCTGTCTCGCGTGATGCCAAACAAACTGCAAAAACTTCGGGTTCGTAGAAACATATGTTCGAGTAAGAATCGGGTCGCTCCTCATACCCCTGTCAGCAGTCCTCCTACGGGAATGTACGTAAGAGCTACATACGCTGAGAGAGTGAGAGAGACAAGTTCGCCTTCGGCAACACCGAAGAGCGCGCCCGCCTTGCAACATGGGCTGCAAGCAACGCGGGTTCCGTGGTCAACGGGCGTTCGACCACACCACCGGCCAAGGCTACGTCAAGTCACAGCGTGGCCACTACCATGACGGGATCTTCGGTAAACGAAACAAGGTCAACCTGCTTCTTCAGCTGCAACACACAAATACGGCCGCCGGGGACCGATCGGCCGAGACGGCGAGCGCATGACCAGGGGAGCTGGCAGACTGTCCTCACGGACCAAGACACATAGCTGAGAGGGCACCTCCGACGCTCAGCCACCAGTAGCAGTGTATCTCTCAGCTGAGCCTGGAGTTGAGGCTCGGGCCGTCACGGGAGGGGAGCACGGTTTCATCGGAACTGTCGCGCAGACAGGAGCGGCAGCACGCGCCAGCGCGGTGGCAGGGGTCGAGTTGCGATGGCCTATGCGTTGAACAGAGGAGTACTGGCTCCTCTCTGCCTAGAGTTTGTGCAGTGGCAGTGTGGAGCCGCGGCATGCCGCCCGCTCAGACCAGCCGCAGTGACTGCGCCGCGAGCGCCGCGAGCGTGTCCAGGCTGACAGACAGGCGCAGGCAGCGAGGGCCGAGCGCAGGCGCAGCGGCGCACGCAGCGAGGCACCTGTCAAGCAAGATCCGCACGCCGGGAGCGTCGCTCGGCGTTCGTTCAATTGAGGCGCGCCAGATCCTCGCGAGATTCTCTGATGACGCAAGCTTTCCTACATATCTATTTTTGTACTCTCTGCTGTACTTTGGGGACGTTATATATTGTAAGTACCCGTCCTCAAAGTACAGAAGAGAGTACAGATTTCCCCTCTGCGAAGCCTGCCTTTACATAGTAAAAAAGAAAAGCAGCGCTTTTCCCCTCTTCACGCCCTCACACAGGCCAAAGTTGGACCCGCGCGAGATCGCCCCCTCGCGCCGTCCGTCGGGCCCGAGCTGTATGTCTGTGCCAGAGGCCTCTCCCGCCCATCGATCGCCTCTGGGCTGACTCGTGCGAGCGGTTCTCCGTGTATCGATGGTGGCCAGTAGCCGGCACTGGTTTGCCGGAGGTTGCAGCACACGATGGCTGTGACGCGACAGATACCCCTCGGTGCTGCTGAGCGGGTGCCCGACGCGTGTGCGTGGACGAATTCGACCCGCGAGGAATCATTCGAGCCGTTGGTAGCGCACCACCTCCGACTGGACACGTCATCTGGCCCTGCGTTGAGGCTGCTGCGCACGCATACCGCCAGGGTGCTCACCACGCAGATGCCAGAGACGCGCCGATTGCGGCTGCCTCGCTTGCACACGTGTCCACAGACCTCTCCGGTTGACCACTCGGAGATCGGCAAGGCGCGAATTCGCATTTCGGTTCTTCCTCAGAGACAGAAGGCCCACTCGGCATGCTGCGAGGCAACGCCATCATGTGGCATAAAAGTGCATTCCCTGCCACAGAGAGCCACTCGGTGCAGCCGCGCAGCGGGCTCGTGGCATCACCCGTTCCATGTGGAGTGCACGAGGTGCTCGGCGACGGGTGCAGCCCTGATGCGAGTCGTGCTGGCATGCTTACGCTGTGCGCCAAAGGCTCGCCACCGCCAGGGTCACAAACCTGATCCGCAACGCGATTGTGGCCCTGGTAGGGTGGCTTCCTCGATGGCTTGTGACCACGGCGAGCGAACATTTAGCGACCGGCTGCGCAGCCCGACGCCGACTTGGCTCACGGGACCCACAAAGCAGCTATCGCGCAGCGCCCGTCGCTGCACGTAGACACTAAACACTACACTCCTCTCCTTAAAATCCCTGTGTGGTGGCGGCGTGCCGTCCTCCCATCCCTCCCTTGGCTTGTCTGTTTTCTTTCTTTTTTCCCCACCGCCCCACAGCGCACCACACACCTCTCCTTAAAATCCCTGTGTGGTGGCGGCGTGCCGTCCTCCCATCCCTCCCTTGGGTTGTCTGTTTTCTTTCTTTCTTTCTTTTCCCCACCGCCCCGACCCCCCCACTCCCTTGCTCCCCTCCCCCCCTCGGGAGGGCCGAACTGAGGCGCCCGAGGGGACCCCGCAATTCCCTTCCCCCCTCGGAGGGCCGGACTGAGGCGTCGAGGGCCCCACTCTTTCCCTCGCATAGCGGCCACTCTTCGGATCGCTGGTCGAGCGACCCGGGGGATGCCCCGCGCGCCTGACCCAGGCGCGAGAAACGAATCTGCGAGGCGTGGCCGCTCACATGCGGCCCGATGGGGAGGAGGGGAAGACGTAGGGCGTGCTTGCGCGCCTTTCCGAGGCCCCTCCAACCCACCCGCGCTAGGTCTCGGGGGACGAAGGGGTCACACCCGACGACCTCGGGAACTAGCCGGGGCAGTCGGAGAAGGGGCAACTCCGTGCACTGACGGTCGGCCGTCAGAAAACACGCCTCCGTGGCTCGGGTTACACCAATCCTCGCTACCCAACGCGGCCAAAGGATATCCACCTCGAGAACCTCGAGAGAGAGGCGTGGCTCTACCCGGTACCAGGGCGTCTACTCGCCCCCGCCAGCCTGAGAACAGCCAGTCAGCCTTCGAGGGGGACACCGACGACCATAATGCTCCCGCGATCCCTCCTCCTCCTCTCTCTCGCCTCGGCGGACGCGTTCGCCGCCGCTCGTCCGCACCTGGGGCTGCCTCCTCGCCCAGCAGCGCGGCCGGTGCACGTTCTGCGGGGTGGAGGCGCCGCGCTCCAGGCTTCGCTGGCGGGCGCTCTCGCGGGCGGCATGGCCCTCCCGACCGCCACGGGCATCGCCGCCGCGTGCGGCACGCTCTGCTACATCCGACAGGCTTATATCTTTTCTCTGTCGTACGGCCTCTCGATGCTCGGCATCGGCGGCGCCGTGCTGCTAGCGGCTCCAGCGCCGCGCTCACCGCTACTCGCGGCCCACGCTGGCCTGGTTGCTGCGTACGGCGCCCGCCTCTTCGCCTTCCTGCTGTGGCGCCAGAAATTCCAGCCCGCGTACGACGGCGAGGCGCGCCTCAAGCCGCTCGACAAGACGCCCCGCCTGCAGCGCACGCCCATCCTGCTGAGCACCGCGCTCTTCTACTCGCTGCTCGCGTCGCCGCTCCTCTTCCACCTCCAGGCGGCCCCGCTCGCCGGCGCCTCCGCCGCCGTCGCTGGCGTCTCGGCCGCGGGAGCCGCCGTCGCTGCGGCCGGCCTCGTGTACGAGGCGGTGGCGGACCAGCAAAAGTCGCGCTTCAAGATGGCGCTGCGGGCGGGCGGCGCCAAGGACAGGCTCTACATGGGAGGGCTCTACGCGCAGAGCCGGCACGCAAACTACCTTGGCGAGCTGGTCTTCTGGACCGGCTCCTTTCTCGCGGGCGCGCCATCCATCGCGGCCGCCGCCGGCCTTCCGCTGTGGGCGCGTGCGCTGCGTCTGGTCGCCGCGTCGCTTGGCCTCGCCGGCATCTTCTTCATCATGACATCGGCGACCAAGCGGCTGGAGGGCAAGCAGCGCGAGAAGTACGGTGCCGAGGCGGAGTACGCCGAGTACCTCGCGAGCACGAACGCGCTGCTGCCAAAGTTCTGAGGGGGGGGAAGGAGGGTGCTGCACACACGAATTTCCGAATATTGTCTTCCATGGTGCATGGACTCTAGATCTGTTGACTGTGCACTGTTCAAATTAGTTTGTGCGCGGCATATTTTGATTTTTGTGCACGGCTACGGCAACGGGCCCTGCGAGTGCGACACGCCGGACGCGCGTAGTGAGCCGTCCTCTTCACGCACATCTCACCTTAGGGTACCCCTAGGCTTAAAAGGGTGGGCCCTGGGGCGCCTGCGGCTTAAACGGCTTAAAACCGGCCTAGGCCGGTTTTAAGAGCTGCTGGGCCGCCGATTCCTTAAACGGTCTTAAACGCTTAAACGCTGCGGGAGAGCTCCCGAGGTCGATGGTCCGGGAGGCTCCCCAGTAGACGCCGGAGGCCGGGGGAAGCTGGCTACAGTCAGCTGGCACGCGTCCCCTATGCGAGTATGGCTCCTGCCAGCTTAGGGGACCCCTAGGGTTCTGAGGGCCGGATTTTTTTAAGACCTTTTAAGAGATTGGCGGCTCCAGAGCCGCCTCGGTGCGTTTAAGAGATTGGGCCCATGCTGCCGCTCCCATTTAAGAGACCATTTAAGAGAATCGCACACCGCGCCCAACCTGAGCCATTTGAGCCATTTAGAGCGTTTAAGCGCGGGGAGGCTGGCGGGCGGGCGGGCGAGCGAGCGGGCGGGCGGGCGGCAGAGAGAAGCGCTCTCGGGGCCGAGCGAAGAGCTTTCGCCGCCCGTCGGCAAGTTTTGAGTATAGACCATTCATGGTGTGATCGCGTTTAAGGGCGCGGGGAGGCTGCCGAGTCGTTTGACCGTTTAAGACCGTTTAAGGAATCGGCGGCCCAGCAGCTCTTAAAACTTGCCTAGGCAAGTTTTAAGCCGTTTAAGCCGCAGGCGCCCCAGGGCCCACCCTTTTAAGCCTAGGGGTCCCCTAAGCCTGCCAGTGCACCAGACTTACAGATGTGTCTTCAGAGGCGGGTTTGTGCCTAATAACGGCAGTATTGGAGAAAACGGCGCGGAACGCAGCCTCCGCGCAGCGACGCGTGCCGGTGAGGCCGATTTTCTTAAACGGTCTTAAAAGAGAGACCCCCCGTGCCTGCAATCTCTTAAATGACAATTTGAGCCCCCAAACCTCCTCATTTCTTAAAAGGTCTTAAAAAAATCCGGCCCTCAGAACCCTAGGGGTACCCTAAGCATCTCACATTATATTGAGATTGTTATTCGAATTCCATGTTCATTCTCACAGGACATAAATAAATAAATAAATAAAACGGGCAATTCTCACAGGACACAGCAATTGTCTCCCCCTTTTTTTCACCACCTGAGATCCGGTTGCTTCCCCCAGGATTAGTCTTCTCTGGACTCTGCCTAGCTGCGGGAACACTCTCGGGCGGCCGGGTGGGGCTGCGGCTGGAGCTAGCCTCTGGTGGGGTGGCGCGGGGGCCCCCGGAGGCACCGTGCGCCGCGCCGCAGTGCGGAAACGGGGCCCCGGCTCCACTAGTCTCCACTAGCACCGACTTCCCGATCTAACCTGGTCTAACAGAGGGCAGATTTGGAGAGATCTCGAGGAGTACATACAGATAGACCCTCCAATCACGAGAAACCTCCAACCTGATCGGTCGTACTGACCGCCGACAGATCACTCCAGACAGCAGACAGGCCGACGTCTGCACGCGGCCGGCCGGGCGAGAGGCTTGACACGATCCGACCCTGCGACCCTGACGCTGCTGCTCTAGCTATCAGACATGCACTGCTGACTGCTGCCACAATGTGCGACCGGTGCTGACCCACTCGGCGGCCTTCCCGGTCAGTGGTGAGGCGCAGTCCAGAGCTGTCGATGGCGCGATGGGCGATGCCCGTCACCGCCGTCGCCGTCGCCGCCGCCGCCGCCGCCGCCGCCATCGCCCCCTTCCACTCCAGACCCGTACGAGTCCTTCACCTTTGCGCTGGGCGTGGACACCCGCAACGGTGAAGTTGGCTCTGGAAAGCTCTGCGGAACCACCAATATTATCGCCGACTGAGGTATGGCGTCGCTGACGCGTGCCTCGCCGACTCCACGTGCGTCGCGTTCGGGTATCGCCACACGTGGTCTGGTGGGCTCGTCGGGAGAAAGTGTACGCAGGCGCAGTTCGACGCGCCTATGGATTCGGCCGACTGGGGCATCTACGAGCGCAGTGTTTGATGCTGCCGCTCCTGTGCAGCGACAGCAGAGCGACAGAGAGAGAGGTAAGGTAGGAGGTAAACGTCTCCACACACACACCACGCTCGGCGCACCGCTCGGGACGACGAGCGAGAGTGGTGTGGCACCCAAAGCAGCCGAGGTAGGCGGAGTAGACGGGCGAATACTGGCCGGGAGCTCGCAAGCTCGCGCGTGTGTGTTTCGTCGGTCGGCCGTCCTCTTCACACATCTCACTGAGATTGGTATCTAAATTCCATGTTCACAGCAATTGTCTCCCCTTTGTAGCGGGATCGCCGGCTTGGTCGCCCTGACCACCGCTGCCAGCCGCTGGCGTGACCGCGTCCCTTTTGTCCCTTTTGGTGCCCCTCTTTGCTCCCTTTTCCCTCGCCGCGTAACTTGCGCCCCTTTTGAAAACTTTAATTTGTCTCTTTAGACCCTTTTTTTCACCACCTGGACCCCGAATCTCAGCCCTGCAATTATGACCCCAACTACCCTGACCTGCCCTGCCGTACTACCCTGCCCGCACACTGCCGCACAAGCCACAACTTCCCTGCCCGATCCCCTACCTGCCCCGGGTGTGAAACCCACACTGCCCACCCCTGCCCAAACCACACTGCCGACTCTGCCGAGGGAGGTGTGAATGCCCGCGCTCGCGAGACGCGAGGTCTCGAAGTCGAACACAAACTTCTCCATATACGTATATGAAGTCACAAAAGAACATGTAAAACATGCGCGCGGTGAGGGTGTGTATCAACGAATCATGCCACGTCCCACACGTGTTCGTGTACGTGTTTGTGACGTGTTTGTTGATGTGTGAAAGTTCCGTCGGCGCTGTGAACTGACGGCCGCGGCGGGGGCGGTCTGCGCTTCTTCTCGGAAACAGCCACCAAGTTCGGACAACGCGGGCCGCGAGCGCCTTGGTGTCCATGCTGTGTCTCAGCGCGCACCGAAAGAGCCGCCTCATGTTGCGCGAGGCGCGGCGGCGAGGCGCGCGAAGCGCTGCAGCGCCACCTCGAAGCCCTCCTCCGTCGCCGCAGAGAAGACGCAGCGGAAGAGGCCGGGCTCCTCGGAGCGCATCGACGCGCCCGGCGTGAGGAGGAGGCCTAGAGTACGGGCGAGTCTCACTTGAGATGGACGAGCACCAGCTCCTCTGAGCCGGCCGCGAGGAGGAGGCGGCCGAACTCGTGGATGAGGCGCAGGTAGAGGGCTCGCTCCGCCTCCGCCTGTACCACTCCGACTCGCAGCTTACGACTCTCAGCCACGCGACTCTCACCGCTCACCCTCTGCTCCGCCTCGCGAGCGGGGAGCAGCGCCTCCTCGACCCCGACCGCACCGGCCCACGAGCCGCTGTTCTCGCGCTGCGGCGGCCCGGAGTCGCCGTAGGAGAGGAAGGGCCTGCGGCGGGGGGGTGGGGGGCGGCGGGGGGGCGGCGGTGCGGCGGGCGGGGCGGGTGCTGCGGCGGCAGCGGCGGCGCTCCGGAATGGCGACGCCCCACTCCCTGGTGGCGGCAGCCTCTGTTTGGGATGACAGCGTCCGGCAAGGCGGCGCAGGTGGTTCTGCTGCAGGAAGAGCC